CCATATTTTGCCAAAACTGACCCAGGTGCTAGGAGGTTACACAGGAATATCTATAATATAATGATAATATTATACTCAATATAAAAGAATACATGATGAGTGTGGAGGGGTGAGGAAGACATGGCAGTATTAGAAAATTATATAGAATAATTTTGCACTGTAAAAATGACTGAGGGAAGACATGGCTGTCTGCTTCCATAAAGATTACAACCATGAAAACCGTATGTGGCTGTTCAACTCTGTCATATGGGTTTGCTATGAGTCGAAATCGACTCAGGGGCACCTAACAACTATGATAATGAATTTTATATATGTAAGGAGCCCTGGTGGTGCAGTGGTTAAGAGCTCAACTGCTGGGAATCGATTTGACTTAATGGCAATGGGTTTGGGTTTGGTGTTTTTGTATATGTAGGTTATATCTGTTGATATTTACCATATTAAAATGAAAATTAAGATATTTAAAATATGAGCCCTGGTGGTGCAGTGGTTAAGAGCTCGGCTGCTAACCAAAAGGTCAACAGTTCAAATCCACCAGCTACTCCTTGGAAATCCTGTGGGGCAGTTTATTATTATATTTAAAATCAACATAGTAAGTCCATTACATGTTAACATAAAATAACATTTTAATAAAAGTTCTAGGAAGATTTCAACACGTCCAGACTCATTGCTGTTGAGTCGATTCCGACTCACAGTGACCATATAGGACAGAGTAGAACTGCCCCATAGTGTTTCCAGGGCTGTAATCTTTACGAAAGCAGACTGCCACATCTTTCTCCTACAGAATGGCTGGTGGGTTCAAATTGCCAACCTTTCAATTGGCAGTCGAGTGCTTTAACCACTGCGCCACCAGGGCTCCAACATAAATAACATTGTAATAAAAAATATTTTCCAAAATAAAAAAAAAATAACGAGAAGAGTGGCATTACTTACATTTTTGCCAAAACCTCTTTGCTGTCTAACTTAATAGAAGACAGCTGGATTCTCATATCTGCTTCTGCATTCAGTCTGTTGCAATCTGTTGTTTTGGTTGAAGTCTGTGAAGAAAATTCAACCTCACAGAAAAGGGAGTGTTTTAATAGCTTCTTTGATATTATACCAAAACTCCACAGTCATAGTTTCTTAAAGGTTGGTTGCAATGTAGAATCTGAAATCACATTATTGAGCTTTTTTTTTTTTTCTTTTGATGTGTTAAAATCCATTGGTCTGTCTTGCACTTTGAGTGTCTCTCATGGATGATTTTGTAACATCGTGCATTGGTCATGTGGAAAATACTGGTAAGTTATTCAGATCTTGTAAAATCATATACATTACTATTATCCTTATCTCATCAGAAAAGTCTTTACATATTGGGAAGCTGTAAAGCTCCTGGTGGCAGATGTATTTATTCCAAATGCTTGAACGCTCAGATTTTATCATTGGCAACAAATACTGTCAGTTGTTTTCCTTGAAGAAACAGGCTCACTTTGTTCATTTTTCAGAAAATGTTTGCCAAATATAATCCAAGTGCGAACAACCACAATTTGTCAGTTGTTCTTTTAAGTAAAAGTGGTAGTCCATGGGAAAAAAAAAACAGCAAAGTTAAGCTTGCAGCTCAGTTATGCATGTGCTTTTCTTCTAGGCAACCATTGTATTGTATTTCAGTTTGCAGCAGAAGTGCTTCATGTGCACTTCCCATTTTATCACTCACACACACACACACACACATACACACACACCCAGACCTGTCACTGTGAGTCAGTTATGAGTCATTTGATTAGGACATTAAAAGGACCCGTACTCAAGGGTTAAGATTTAATGGAAGTAGTAAGTCTGACTGCTTCAACAAGGACACTCGAAAAGGAAACTGACCTTTTTTTTTTTAAACTGCTAATAGGGTCACTGTGAGTTGAAAGCCATTCAACGGCACACAACAACAACAATAATATGTGATGGTGAAGAAAGCAGTGACTACTAGGTCTGTTTGCTGGCGCTGCCTTAGCGCTAAGGCATAACAGTTTTTGCCCATTGTTGCTTTTGCACCATCAGTGCAAATGTCAGCACAGTGAAAGACAATGTCTTCGTGTTATTGTAAAAAATAGTTTTGACCTCTGAGAAGGTCTTGGGGACTCCCTGGAGTCTAGGAAACTACGTTTAGAAAACAGCTGCTATAGATGGTAGGTTAATTGCATTGGGCCTGTCCTGCCAACCCCCTAGCATTGTTTAGTGTGAGCCCTAACCTGCCTGTATTCCACAGCTCCTTAGTAATAGTTTAGAGTATCACTTTGGAAGATGGGCAACCTTGTCTGGATTCTAGATAGAATGCAGAGTTCACAGGGCAGGCACTCAGCATTCATCCAAGTTTCCGCACACCTACGGTGTGCTGATTCCTCCGAGATGCCAAGCGTGACCTCCTTCCATCTCTGCCCATCGAAATTCCTTCCTACTTATCTTTAGGCACAGCTTAAATGCCTTCCTTGGGCCCCTTAGTGGGAAGTGATTTCATTTGTACCTCTTAGAGTGTTTACTATATTGTTTGCATCCTCAGAATTTTTTTTTGTCAGTCCCTTAATTACTTGCTTAAGGATCCAAATGAGTTTTCTGCTTTGTAATCTGCATATTGCCCCCAAAGGGAGGGCGTTTTGTAAATATTTGAATGTAATGAAACAAAAAATGGAAGCAAAGTAAAACAAGTGTGCGTTAGTTACACATTTCCTGATTGCAAGCATTGGAGTGATCAAAAGTAGAGAACGTGGTTTACTGCTGTGGTTTTGTCCCCTGCTCACTGCAGCCTCTTGGGTCCCAATACTCAACAAATATTCAAATTGGAGCTTGAGTTCTAAGAGGCCGGTTACAGTGTGTTCCGGCGATGTGTGTTTTGTACCTTGTTAAAACCTGGCAAGAGGGCACTAGCGAGAAGCCTGCAGGCGGGGCTGGGCCGCAAATGGGCTGTTCTGCGCTCTCGCTTGGGCCCAGCCTCCAGCTCTGGCCAGCCGAGCGCCCTGCCCTTTTAAGGAGGCGGACTGTACCACCAGAACTTTCTTGACAGGGGAGTGTTCAGGCGAACTCGGACAACTTTAAGTGAGCCAAAAGGAGGTTTCCTTTCCTTTCTAACATTGGCCAGTGTTCTAGCGCTAGTCGGTGGGAGCTGTGCGCTGGAGGGTTTCGAGCGTGGGCCTTTTTGGTTTCCCGTCTTAGAAATCGCCCCGAGGGCTCTGGCTCGCTCTGAATTCAGACGCGACGTTCCCTGGGTCGTCAAAAGTGTAGTCCGCCTGCAGAGGCCTCAGGGCCCGGATGTCCATCAGGATTAGCGTGAGCCAATACGGGCCGAGCCCGAGGCTGCGCTGAGGACGCGGAGGCTCTCCCGGAGCAGGTAGTCCCGTAACATTTGGGGAGTCGCGCCGCTGTGGAAGCGTCTCCTCTCGGCTCCGGCAAATGGTGAGCGCGGCGCTGGCAGACGGGCCCGCGGGTTGAAAGCGCTAATGGACAGAAGACCTTGGGCTTTATAAACTGAATTATGGCAGCCCAGTCAAGGTAAGCCAGGCACCGAGAGAAAGTTTTTAAATATGTTTGTGGCTCGGGGACTTGAAGGTTATGGGGGGAAGGGTTGGGGTGCGGGGAAGAAGACGGGCAGGAAGCAGCTTTGTCATTGCTTTCTCATCATTCCTGATGCAGTGGCTCATTTTTTAATGCCAGATAAAAACAGTTTGGAGAACACCCTAGACAATTTCTGCATAGTGGAGCGAGCAGTCGAGTTAAAGTTAAGATTAAAGTTAAATTTCCCTCCTCTTCCAAAAATAACTGTTGTTTTGAGAGAAATTAAGTGGATTTGACTTGTCTGCCTTACCCCCAAATTTTCACTTAGTTTCTTTGTGCACCCTCGCGTTGGTTCCCTTGATTTCTAAAGGATGTCTTGAGCGGAATTTTAGAAATGCAATTAATGGAAAACATAGTTTCTCTTGGAGAAGGTGGATTAGAATTTGCCTGGTGAGTGATTGAAAATTTGACTGCTAAAATGCCCAATTCCACATAAAACGTTACAGCTTGTGTGAATCTGCTGAGTAGGCAAAGACTGGGAATGTACCAGGGCTGACGAAGGGGAGAATGAACTACAGTTGCTGTCAGAGGAGCGCTATTGTAAGAAGCTCAAGCCCTGTCTTTCCATGGTTTGTTACTTGTTTTGTAAAGCGTTAAAATATAGTGATGACAAGGCACTGATGATTATCCTAAGATTCATACCGTTTTGTATGATTTCATTTTAGTTGTGACAGCAGTTGGTGCTAAGGGAAATTTGAGGAGTTATATGCGTGTATATACATTCTTTTTAACTTTCGGTTTATTAGAAAGCAGTGTAGCCTCATATCTCTGATTTCATTTAAAATAAAAGGACTCTTTAGGCTGTTACTGTATAGTGATTTTGACATGTCTCAGAAGGCTAAACAAATTCAGGTTTGAAGATTCAGATTCATCACTGAGAGAAGTAGTTGCTTTAATGTTGAAGTTTGGGCTGGAGGAGGCGTTAAGCTTTTTTCCTAAGACAAAACTTTCTAGAGAGGAAAGAACCTCTCTATATAGACACCTCCTGTGGGCTTTTGAAACTTAATCCTCTGTTCCCATTTTGTTGATTGTTCTGAGAAAGGATTACTTAACCTGGGGGCCACATAATAGGAACTTGGAATGAGAAACAAAAGTTGCATCTTTATTTTTTGCTAACCTTTAACTGAAATTTAATATTTCTTTCTAGTAGGAATGCAGATAGAAAACTATGGTAGTGTTACCAGTACTTGTGATTTTATCACAAATAGAAATCTCATTACAGTTGTTAAAGATATCTTTTACACTTATCACTGCTGTTAAATTAAGGGGCTGCTTTATCTGGTTAACTCAGTAATAAAGAAAAACATATATGCTGTACCACCGATTTGATAAGTGTATCTCTATATAAATTGCTCCCTTTGAAATCTTAGGTATTTAATGCATTTAAAAACATTATTCTGAAAGTCCATAATCTTCACCCAACTACCCAAAGGGCCCATGGCACAAAACGTTAGATTAAGACACCTTCATCTAAGAAGTTAAGTAAGTGTCATCTAACAACTCATTAATATAGCACAGAGTGTTGAACCCGTCTGAATTATTCTAATGCTCAAGTCCTTATATTAATTATAAAAATAAGATAATAGCTAAATTAAATGTTGCTGTGGGCCAGGCCCTGGGCTCAGCAGCTTTAATTGGATTACCTCATTGACACGTCTCACTCACCTAAATTGGTAAGAATTTTTATCATCTACATTTGGCAGTTAAGGAAACTGAGGCCCAGGTTTCTTGTCTGAGTTCACACAGGTGGAGCGAGGACTTGAATTCAGGCCATCTGATCCAGAGCTGCTTTGTAGCACTTCCTCACTTACAAGCTGTCTCTTTCATGCTGTAGTGAAGTGTTAAAAGGTGGCTACCTGCAAGGGCTCAGTATAAAAGTAAGAAAAGCAATTTCTGCTAAAATTGCTTTGCTACAAAATGTAATAATCAGAGTTACCAGTGTGTTAGTTCAACTTGCCAGCAGTGGAAATTGGAGAGCTGGATGCATTTTGTTCCTCTACCTGGCCTTCAGACATGCCCTTGAACTAGGAACAAAGCCACAAGGCCATTATGTCTGTTGTTTTCTTAGCCTCCATGTTGAGAGTAGATCTCACATGTTGTAAAGTCCTTTTTTTTTTCCAGTCACACCTGGAATGTGGTCCATGCTCATTCAGACATTGTTCTTTGTGGAAGAACAGGTAATCTTTGAGATCTAAAGGGTGAATCTATGGAGAAGATTCCCGATATTTTTTGGTTTCAGGGAAACCCAAGGCTGTGCCAAGATTTTAAAGAGAAACTGAAGCATCTCCTGCAATGTATAATCCAGGGTAGAGTAAAATCTTGCCCATGTGCTACACACAGTGTTTTCTGCTCTTGCAACGGTTCAGATTGTTGGGCTCTTTGGGCCTAACGATTCATAGCTCAGTTCTCACCACAGTAGTTTCATTATGCAGTGTTTTAAAGAATTTGAATTTTTAGTAGAAGTAGATGGAACTTGGCTGAAACTGAATTTCATAGTACTGATAGTGAATGCAGGAGCCAACCGTGGCACTTTTCTTTCATAATCAGCATTGGCATATAAGGTAATGTAAGTCTTGATTTGATATTGATGGGTGATGTCTGACTGATTTTTCATGTGAAAAGTTGTATAGTTGTGTATTCCCTTCACTTTAGTCAGCTCCTTAAAAGAAAAATACTGCGTCACGCTTTGTCAGAATAGACTCAATGACTACTACTAACAACAACATAGGCTAGAAATATTTTGAGTGAGGAAGGAAACCTAAGTCTTTCTTGGCTTGTAAACTTTTATAAATTGTGGTTATATCCTCCTCTGCCTCATGCTAAAACTTAAAAGTAGGAAATTGTTTTTGTTTTGCCTTTGTGGTTGATTTCTTGTCTAGAAATAGAAGATGTTTATTGAGTAAAATGTGAATTGCCTTAAGTTTTAAAAATAAGACTTTTGATACTATTTTGAAAACAATTCATGCTTGGTTTATTGAGATATCAGTTGTGGAGAAAGGTAATTCATTAGAAATGCAACATCAGTCAAATCAGGACACATACTATGCCTCAGCTCTCAGTTTAGTGTGTTCTTTGGAACCTGTAAGCATAACAAATACACGAACTATACATCATAGTTGGATTTGTAACAGACTTGCTTTCTTTAATGTGAAATAGTTTCAGATCATATCTTTAGTTGACAAGTTCTGGTTTAAAGCACATGGAGACTACATTTTATAGATGTACAATAACCAGAGGGGGCCCTGGTGGTTTAAAGCACTTGGCTGCTAACGGAAAGGTCGGCAGTTGGAACCCACCTGTGTCTCAGAGGGAGAAAGATGTGGTAGTCTGCATCCATAAATATTACAGCCTTGGAAACCCTATGGGGCAGGTCTACTCTGTCCTGTAGGGTTGCCATGAATCAGAATTGACTCATTGGCAATGAGTTTTGTTTCTGTTTGGATTAGCTTGCCTTATATTAAGGAGTGATTTTTTTTAAAATTTTGCTTTAGGTGAAAGTTTACAGAGCAAATTATTTCCCATTTAATAGTTTGTACATAAAGTGTTCCATGACATTGGTTGCATTCCACACAATGTGAGGAGTGATATTGAATAGAACAGGAAGGAGGGCTTTGTCTAATTTTTCATCTCCACTAACCCCTTCACTGAAGCAATTCCTGAATTCTAGAGTGGAGTATATACCTTTAATGGTGGCGGAAATGGTTTAATGTTCGACTACTAGCAGAAAGGTTGGTAGTTTAACTCACCCAGAGGTGCTTTGGAAGAAAGGCCTGGCAGTCTGCTTCTGGAAGGTCACAGCCTTGAAAACCCTCTGGAGCAGTTCTACTCTGCACACATGGGGTCGCCATGAGTTGGAATCTACTCGAGGGCAACTAACAACAGCAACCACTGTAAGGGTTTAGATAGTTGCAGCACAGTGGTCAAGAGCTTGGCTGCTAACCAAAAGGTCAGCAGTTCGAATCCACCAGCCTCTCGTTGGAAATCCTATGGGGGCAGTTCTGCTGTGCCTGTAGGGTTGCTATGAGTGAATCCACTCGATGGCAATGTTTAGTTTGGTACTACTTGAGAAACTCTCCCCCTCTCCCTGGGATGGGGGAAGGGTACAGGTGAGGGTGGGGAAATTAAGCTGGCTTCTTTAGAAGATTTACATCTAGTGGCTGAGCATGTCTTCTCAAATGAAAGCACTTTCAGACAAACTACAAAAGGAAATTATTTGTAGTCAGCTCTCCTACAATTTTTTATTTTAAATTTGACTGAAGGTAATATTAATGGAGTTTAAAAAAAAAAAAAAACTATTAAGAAGCAAAGTCAGATTGTTCTCAAGATTATCATGAAAGCCAGTTTCTGGTAGATCACTTTGATGAGGGAAACATTTCCATTGCAAAAAGCAGTGTTCTCAAACTGGTGTGGACTAGTGTTGTCCCTGCCCTCCGCCCTTCCCCCTAATTTATGAGCTACTGATTACCTTGGAGGAAAATTCGTGAAAGCAAAGAAGCTCTGATTAAATATGAGCAGTATCAAGGAAGAATGCTATGGTGTTTTGGAAAGTGCAGTTCAAGGAAGTGATTTCAAGAGGGAAATAATTTATGCAGTATTTTCACTCAGTGAATGTCCTGATTTTTTCCCACATGACACCATTGGAAACTGTGTCCTTGACAGAAGAGAAACACAGACAGGTCTTGTAAGTGAGATTTCCTTCTGTTTCATCCTGAGAGCCCAGCTGAGCTTCCTGACTCACATCCTAGATCTTCCATGAAAAAGACTGAAGGAGAAATGATACATTTTTTTTTCAGTCAGCTGGTTTATGCAATGTTCTTTGGCAAAATTAATGCAAGTTATCTCTTGAGAGATTAGAGGATTCTATACCATGCAATAACAACATACCATACAATAGGAGCCAGTGGCGCAGTGGTTAAGTGCTCGGCTGCTAACTGAAA